TTATTTTTAAATTTTATTTAATGTTATTTTTTTAAGTAAACTCTACCCCCAACGTGGGGCTCGAACTCACAACCCCAAGACCAAGAGTCGCACACACTACCAACTGAGCCAGCCAGGTGTGCCTACAAAACTTTTTAAATTGAAACAGTTATTTTATATTTAAAACAGTCACTACCAAGAAGAATAGGAAAAGTTGTGTGCATTTTTTTTGTTAAATCTGCAACTTTTAGATTTAGGGAAAAAAAGTCCTCATAGAAAACAGGATTCAAAACTTAAAAAGGAGTTTAAATCATTCTCGGGCAAAATGTGAATGTCGCCACCCCCCGAAAGGACTCAAATTAATCCTACATAAAAATGTAAGGTCTTCATTTCATAAACCACTGAATGGCACCTTACATATTTGAAAGGTTCTTACTTGGAGATTTCTCCCTTGGGCTTGTCACCCTTTTCACAGCTTTAAATACCACCTATAACCTGATGACTCCCAAGTTCCCTCTCCAGCCTGGACAGCTTCCCTGAACTCACGCTGGTAGACTCGAACGCACGTGCGACCCATCTGCCTACATGCCTACTACCAGGCATCGAATGTAGCATGCCCCAAAAGCAGCTCCTGATTCTCATCCCCCACAGCCCACCTCCCCAAAACCACTTTTCTCGTCTACATTTCAGTAAAAGACTCCATTTTGCCAAAAACCTTGGAGTCACCCTTGACTTCTTTCCCATACTGCTCGCCCCACCTCATGTCTCATCCAACAGCAAATCCGCCAGCTGTGCCTGCTGGAATTCACAGAATCTGAAGCCTTCACCACCACCGCCATCCCAGTCCAAGCCATGACCATTCTCATCCAGGTGAGAGCAGCCCACCCCTCCGTGGAACCCCTGTGTCCTCTTTGCTCTCCTTCAGAATACAGCAGCCAGAAACATTTTAATAAAATATAAGTCAGGGCTTGGTACTCCTTCCCAAACCACATGAGTCAAAGTCAAAATCTTCAAATGGTCAACAAGGCAACATTCTTCTCCAGTCATTCTCTCCCCACCTCCATTTTACCTCTAGTCACTCTGGGCTTCTCCTAGAACACGCTATACAAGCTCTGCCTGGGGGCTTCTGCACCCAGATTCCCTCTCCCGAAATGGTTTTACCCCATTATTTCCAAGGCTCGTTCCCTCACCTTCCTCCCAAGGCCACTTTCTTGCGGGGCGGGGGGGGGGGGCTCCCTAACTAAAATCACACCTCCCAACATTCCTTAGCCCTTTTCCTGTGTTATTTTTCTCCCCTGTCCCTGCTACCATCTAACATACTTTACATTTCACCTACCTAGCTTATTAATGGTCTGTCTCCTCCCTCTAGAATGTAAATTCCAAGAGGGTAGGGATGTTTTTTGTTTGCTAATGCATCACCAATGACTAAAACATTACCTGGTACATAGTCCGAGCTCAATAAACATTTGTTAAAGAAAGAATCCCTAGGGGAAAGAGGCTTACTAGCGAATGCTTTTATTCCTCTTTTACCAACTTTCCTGAAAGTGAATTTTCTTTAGTCAAGCCACTGAAATTTGGAAGCACTATATCAAGCATGAAATAATACCATGGTTTCCTTTATTTTCTCCCTGTACACACGACTAGCCCTTCTGACCCTGAACGATCCTGGAAAAAAACTGCCACCTGCCCTGTGCTTCCAGATTTACCACTGACGCCCTCATCCCCTAGAATTCTGGGCTTCCAGATTCGCGTCTAAGCCAACACTCACATGGGTTATAACTGCAAAATTTTTTTTTTTTTTTTAAAGATTTTATTTATTTATTTGACAGACAGAGATCACAAGCAGGCAGAGAGGCAGGCAGAGAGAGAGGAGGAAGCAGGCTCCCCGCTGAGCAGAGAGCCCGATGCGGGGCTCGATCCCAGGACCCTGAGATCACGACCTGAGCCGAAGGCAGCGGCTTAACCCACTGAGCCACCCAGGCGCCCCATAACTGCAAAATTTTTAATCCAACCTATATGGACATTAGCCAACTCTTAGAAAGATCACCCTATAAAGATCAACAATTTGTAACACAAAGTAAGACTGTGTTCCCCTAGAAAAGGAACGTCGGAGTCCGAGGAACGGACTTTGTCTTCAACAAAACGTGACTCAGGCAAACTCTCATAAACAGCTGCAGCAAGAAAGTGACTACTCGGTTGGGAGGCCATCAATTGGGTTTTTATATCTCTGTATTTTCTGGATCATAAAACAACACAAATTTGTCAGAGAAAGAAATCACAAATGCAAAGTAAAAAGTACAAGTTTTCTCCCACTCCACCGAAATCCCAATTCCCGCACCATGCGGACTCATCTCTGAATTGCTTTTTTCCACTTGCCCACTACTGGATGCCGTTCAGGATTAGTGCTGTGGGGTACACCGGGTACACCGGCGATAACAGCTTGTGTGCCTTTCTGACAGACCCCCTATCGTGGCAGTTCTCAAACTGTTTTATCTTAGGACCTCTTCACACTCTTGAGAATTACTGAGGACCCCCAATGAGCTCTTATTTCTACAGGCGGTCTCACCAACGTTAACCATATTAGAAATTTAAATTGAAAAATTTTTAATTATTTATTTTAAAAACATTTTTTATTATTAGAAAAGAATTCTTTTCCACCAAAAAAGTAACCTTTTTAGAGAACTGTAGAACTGTAGATTTTCTTCTTTGAAGCTACACCAAAACACCTTAAATGGTAGTTTCTTAAAGGTTAGTTGTGATGTAGAATCTAAAACTGTCTGAGGGAACTTTGTTATTGTTAATAACAATAACTTTGTTAATCGTTATATTAAAATCCACTGGTCCATCTTGCACCTTGGATGGATCTTTTACCTGTGTGTGATTTTATAATATCACATACTGATCACTTAGAAAATACTGGCTCACTGAATTATGTAGATTTTCTGAACAGATATTTCATTATATCAATATTTCGTTTTATCAAAACATCACATTTGTAAAGTATCACCACCAATCTCTACATCACAATAGCAGATACAAGTTTTCCAAAATCCTAGTCTTCATTGGAAAGCTAAAATTTTATCACTGGCCACATATACTACCAGTTGTTTTCCTTGAAAGACTCTTTTATACTCTTTTTAGCCTGAATAACCATTGTTTTGTCGGTGTTAGTTCAAGTAAAAATGGTAGTTCCATGAAAAAAGTAGCTAGTACAGCTTGCAACTCCAACAACTGCCCATCTGCTTTTCTTGGAGATAACCACTAGCCTCTAGAGCACAGCAAAGTGCTTTACATGTACTTCTGAAGTCAACCTTCAGAGCACTAAAAAAAAAAAAAAAAAACCCACGTATACAGGGGTCAACGGTTCATAAAATTAATCTTTCCTACTGCTTCACCAAGGACATTCGTATATGAAAAATGAAATTTTTATTTTATGTATTTATTTAAGGGTACGTGGCACAATTTATTCAAAATGAGTACAAAGAACACAATGGCTACTAGTACAGTGAGGTGTAGTGTTACCGCCTTGATGCATGCTACGGACCCTGCATGACTTCCGCACCATTCGGGCAAAGAGTGCAAATAACATCAAAGTACTACATTAATATGCAAACGGTTTTAACCTCTCAACCCTCTCTGAAAGGGCCTCAGGGACACCTAAGGGACTATACCGCTCTGTACTAGAAGAGCTTCCTGGAAGTGAGATTACTGGGTTATTGGTATATGCATTTTAAATTCTGGTAAGTTTGGCCAAAGCTCTCCAAAGAGTCTGTAGCAATTTTCATTATCTAAGGCTGCACGATCATCACTAGTTAAAAACATAAATAATTCACTTTATAAATCCTGAATTGGGAAATTACACCATAATGTAACAAATTCCCATATTTGCCTGGCTAAAATGTAACTAATATTTCAAGGAAAAATATAATTCGAATAATCAAATCATTTAGATGAGGTATTTTTCTGTAAGAAAGTAAACCTTCACAGTCAAGTAAGTGCGAGTTCATGCAACAGAGACCTTTGTTTATCGTGGTCACCCACTGTCAAAAGGCATTCTTCATGATGGAATTCCAAAGTATGTGCCACCTGCACTCATCTCACGTTTGCTTATAGAGCGGGTGGGATCGATATTTCAATACGAAGTGCACAGTTTGAAAAATGTCAAGCTACCACAGTACAAACAGGCCCCTAATTAACTGGCTCACAGCTGGCCCCCGATCGGAACATCAGTCTCAGCTGGCCCTCGGCTTTAAACGTACACACAGAATTACGGGAAGCGTATGGCATCACACACAGTCTGCAATCAAATGCCACCTGTGTTCACAAAAATGTCGAAGACAACCTTTCTTGCCTCAAATGTCATCCAAAACAGGGAGAGAGGAGGATAAAAGCTCCACCCATCCCTGGGGAAAGGATTACTCCAGCATCAGGTACAATAACCAGAACGTGGGAATCCTCAATTCACAAGGGCCCCTGCTTCCCCACTCAGTTTTCCCCACGTAGCTCCGAAGTGGGTATTTTCAAGTCCTGCTTGCGACTGGAAAGGTCAAGGATATTAGTGTCAGCTGGGATCTGTGGTTCTTAACCTTTTGGGGAACACAAGCCACTCTGAGGATATGATGAAAGCTCTCTGTGGATAAAGCATTCAAGGATCCCCGCACCGTGGGTAGAGCCCAAGCCTTGGGTTCCGAGCAGGATCGTGGACTCTGATCCTGAGAAAACACGTAAGTCCAATCTCCTAAGGAAACTGGAAGAGTAAAATGGCTTATCGAAGGTCAACAGTGAGCTAGAAGGGGAATTAGGCAAGAAATAAGCAACCCGAAGAGATTTTGAATAAAGCCATCCAGAGATCGTAGGTAACTTCTTATACAAGGAAAGTTCCACCACAAACCAAGAGAAAAGTACAGTAACACAAGTTTTAAGTACAGTCGGACACAAGCGCTGCTGCTCACAAGTCCCTTCTGCGTTCCTAAGCGGAATACATGAGGAAACAACGACCAGAAAGCTTGAAAAGCACTCACCATGTTCCACAAAAACATTGCAGTGCGGGCCCCCATGCCTCGATGACTCCTTCTTCCCTGCTCCTTTGATAAAGTGCAGGGCAGGCAAACTTGGCCTTCTCTGGTCCCCAACAACTTTTCCAGGCTGTTGCCCCATAAAGTAATGATAGGCACCCCTTTCCAGAAGAGGGTTCGAGATCTTCCAGAATGGTCAGCGGGCTTAGGAGGAAACAGTATGTCTAGGATTTCACATTCACAGAATCTCCACCAGTCGGTAACTGAGGTCAATCACAAAAAGACATCTTCCCTAACGAAAGGAAGCAGAGTTTTTTTAGGCTGACATATGTAAACAGGAGTTCCGATTACTTCTGCAGTTTATCCGTTCGAAGTAATGTCATTGCAGTGCTACCCAAAAGTTGCTTGAGTTTAAGTGTCTTTTACTGGCTGAGTAAGCTTCCGTCTTTTCAAGAAGAAGAACATTCACAGGGATGCTGCAAAGGGGTCAAGTCACACTAAAGTCATTTTGATTCCCGCAACATGAAGGAAATGTTGATCGCCTCTGGATGCTTCTCCAGAACTTTTCCTGTGGAAGTCACCCACCCACTATCTTAGTTTCTTCATCTTCCGACAAATTTCCTGCCCAGCTAGCTGCCGCTCTTGCTTCTCTGCCGTGCGCTCCGGAAAAGGACACGGGTCACCCAGACCTCAGCGAGAGCTTGCCCTCGACTCTGACGAGAAGGAATGCATTGCCAGCAACTTTTAAGTCCGCTTTTTAAAAGGCCTGTGAAACCAGTCCAGACTTTTCCTCTGCATTAAAGTTTTTGTTTGGGCTGAGACTAAGGGGACCGTAGGTGACATTGGAAGAAGTCAGGGCATTGGAGGCTCCCGGGAGCAACCTGGGGGCAAGGGGAGGCCACCTGACAGCAGGGAAGGGATATGAATGGGGGAGGGGGGCTCCGTGGCCAAACTAGGGGCCGCGAGACGGAGCAAAGGGCGGCTGGAGGGTAAAGGGGAGGCTGCCAGGGCGGGGCACGGGCGGCTTACTCGGGGGCGTCGCTCCTTCCACGCCTGAGGAAACCGGGTGTCCCAGGTCTGGGGGAAACAGAGACCACCCCTAGTGTCCCAGAGTCGGGGCAGGGCTGTACAGGACGAAGGACCCTCGCGGCCCCGAAGGCGGGAGGCGGGCGGAGGGGGGAGGAGGCCCGGCCGCCTCAGCTGCCCCGAGCCCGGGGGTCTCTGCCCGAGACACCCCCTCCCCCGGCTCCGGACGTTGCTACAGCCGCCGCCGCCAGGCAGTCACATTCCCGGAACTCCGCCGCGGGACCCCGCCTCCCCCTGCAGGTGGGGGCCGTGGAAAACGGAGGGGCTCCTCAGCCGCAGGACCCAGGAACCGGCTCCGGTTCCAGCGCTGCTCAGGGACGGCCACCGACCCCCGCGGCCGCCATGATGGATTAGGAGCCGCTCCACAACGAGGCCAGGCCCCGCCCCTGACCCCGCCCCCGGCGACGTCCGGCGCGCACCTCGCGGGGACCCGGGCCCTCCCGGCACAGCTCTCGGTGACGCCGCCGCGCCCTCTGCCTCTGGTCCCCCTGCCCGCCAGAACTTGGCCCCGCACGACCTTTTAAACGTGGTTTTTCCGAGCGCAAGGTGAGTGGTAAGGAAGCCCCGCCTCCCCTGTACGGCCATTGGCCTCTGAGAATCCGGGTCAGGTCTCTCTCCTGCGTCCCATTGGCCAGTGAGGGCAGTGAGGCCAGAGTTCCCAGCCAACCGCATTCGGCGCAGGCCGCAGGGTGTGCCGGGAATTGTAGTCCCGCGGCTCCCTCCCCTGCACGCGCGAGCTAGAGATTTCTTGCCCTCTGCTCCCGGCTCCTGAGCTTCGGTCCCGCCCTCCAGGGAGCCGGTGGACTCTCGCCGGCCTCGCGTAGGGCTGGCCAATGTCTCTTCTGCGCGGGGAGCAACACCGGCGAGGAGCCAAAGCAAAGGGAAAACTGCGGATCGGATTGTCTCGGAACCGGAGTTGGATTACTTCCTTAAGCCTCTTTAGGGAAGAAGATTTGGCTCGTTCCTGGAAATCAAGGTATCGGGTGCCTTATCCTCCTTCCCCAAATTTTCACCTTTTTCCTTTCATATTTCCTCAAGAAGCGTAAATATTAGAACTAGCGAAAAATAAATGACTGGAAAGCATCCGACATATTGCTATCGAATTCATTGTTTCTCTGGGTTATCCGGAGGCTCACTCATTAAGGAAACAGCGTGTGTAAAGCACCTCTCGCAGGCAAAGCCTGGCGCAGTCATAGATGTCTGCCTAGGAAGAGCCTTTAAGATGAAACGACCTCATTTCACAGATATACATGTATTCGCGTGAGAACGCCCTGTTAGGCGAGAAAATGCAGATTGCTGGGTTAGCAGACCTAACCAATGATCCAGACAACGGCAAATACACACTTGTGATCTGCAAAAAGCACCCAGGCCCCTTTATTCCCTATTACACAGCTAAAGGTTCAGAGACGGGACTTACTCAAGGTCACTTGCCTAGTTAGCATGTGACCAAATCACCGTTTGAGCCCGGATCGATTTTGCTGCAAAGCCCATGCTTTTCCCACTGCACTGTGCAACTGTTGGCCACGTTGGACAACTGATTTTTCAGAAGTTGCTATTCCGGGAAAACCACAGCCACATTATAGGTGTTGTAACCCAGTTACTATATTGTTACATATTTTAGGAATATTTGCGCTGGGTGGGGAAATGGTAGTCATTTTGTAGATAGCAGCTTCCAGACTGGTCATGGGACACACTGAATGTGATGCGTTTGAGAACTTGTTCCCAAATTTAGAACTCAAACTTACAAATTCGGGTGTTAGTTGGTTTAGCTTTGCCCTCTGGTGAAATAACCTGGCCGGCGAACTTAGTCCTGACTTGATATGAGAGATACTTCATTCTTCAAGCATCGGACACCCTGGTTCCCTTTACTCACCCATGATCTTGTCCTGATTTTTCTTCTTGGAGATGTTGCTGCCTTTCTATTCATGCTCTAATCATTTCCCGGCCATCATCCATCATTGAGAACCAGTCTCAATGCTGGAAATAGAATTTCTGGACCCACATTCTTTCACCATCGGTCCAACCCATTCTCTAAAGGGTTGCTTTATACCTCTCTAATGCTTAAGTCTATTCCTGACTCAGAGTCAAGCTCAGTAGGAGCTTAACCAAGTCACTTTCTTTATACCACTTTCTTTGTTTCTTTCATTTCTAAGTGGAGGTCCTATCTGCTATCAAATGAGATCTTGTTTTGTCTTCTCCAGCTGAGATGATGCTTTAGGGGACAACGGAGAGGCCACCTGGACCTGATCTAAAGGTGTATCCCCAATCTCCACTTTCCATTCACCAATGTCTGATTATAGGTGAATCCCAAGCCTAGATTACAGTATTTTTCTAGAGATGCACTATACCCTTTAACTTCCTGCATAGCGCTGTAGAATGACACTTCTGAGGACTTAAAAAACTAAAATGCAGAGCCCAGCAAATGCCAGTCAGATATCAACGTAGCTTGATGTTGAAGAAATCCCCTTAAGTTCACATATTCTCAGTTCTAATTTTGCCCTCACTTTTATAAAGCAAAGCAATCACAAGTTGCTACTTGGATTCAGTACCAGTGCAAAAATGTCCCCTTACTCCTTTTTGAAACACCCACTGGAATTAACACTAGGCAAGCACGCCCTCTAGTGGGCCACGAAGAGTAGATCATCCCCAAGAGGTGCTTTCAGACCATTCTTGGTATCTTCATTCCCACTGGCAGGTAAATTGCCATTCAGGATATACTGAATGAACAGCACAGGCTGGCAGCTTGGGAGACCAGACCAAGCGAGAACAAACTTTCAGAGAGCTCACAAATGATCCCAGTCAAAACTAAACCAAATCGGGGACTTCCCACCCTCTCCTTCCCTGCTCTTAAGAAGCATACAGCCCAGCATGTGCTCTCAAAAATACGCCAAGTGGGCCAATCTACGGTTGCACCGCAGCCTATGGAATATTCAGCTGTCTAAAATGATAGCTCTCGAGTGATGTTATAAGGACAAGAAACATGCCAGTAACGAAGAGCCGAGCTGTATGTCAAGTGTCAAACGGAGGGTTCAAAGTCGCAACCACTGAAACTATCCTAGGCTTACACTTCACTGGATGACCCAGAGGGCAGTTTAAGGTCCTCTGTCAGGTTTTATACCTGCTACACTCCCAAGTATTACACAGGGCATGGGGACAAAAACAGTGATGTTAATACCACATTTATAAATATATAAAAAGTATTCACATATTGTGAAATAAGACAGCACTTCATAGGCTGCCTTTAAAAAAATGTTTTCCCAAACCTGAATCAGAGTATCGTTTCTAGTCATTAGGAAAGCCAATGCATGGGAATTCTAGCATTCCTCAGTGAGAATGTCAACCTCCTGTTTTTAACCCTTAATTATTCCAAAGTTAATGCATTACTACTTCAATCACAGGAGGAAGACAGCTTTTCTTTTTCCACCTGCATTTCTCCTCCTGTTTTCCCATTCCTCAGAGCACCCTGAACATTCACTCTATTACTGATAATTCAGCTTCTAACAAATCACCCCTTAGATACGGGACAGGTTACAGCAGCCTGACATATGTATACTCGCACGGACCACTAGAAGGAACATTCTAAGCAAGCAAAGGCTGCTTGGTTGACTTTATTCTTCCATGTGACTGCTGGGTTAATGTTATTAACTATACAGACGCCTGGGTGGCTCCGTCGGTTAAGCGCCGGCTCTGGGTTTCAGCTCAGATCACAATCTCAGGGTCAGGAGACAGAGCCCTGTGTTGGCTCTGCCCTGGGCATGGAGCCTGCTGAAGATCCCTGCTCCAGCACAAGCATGCGTGCTTGCTCGCGCGTGTGTGCTCGCTCTCTCTCTCGAAAAAAAAAAAAAGTTACTAACTATATTCTTCAGTGTCCTACTTGCGCTGCAGGAGTGGGGACAGAGGCCAAAACAGTTTGCAGGTTAGGGAGGCTGTGTTTTTTACAGGGACCATTTCATGGGGGCACTGTGCCTTGTGATGGTGATTCACTGATGGTGAATAGAAGAAAAAGATTCTCCGTATTATTCCAGAATGGGAGTCCACTTGGCTGAAACACTGTGTGCCTGTAAAGACTTGAAGCTTAAAAAAAAAAAAAAAAGATAGTAATAATTAAAAAAATAAAAAAATCAAGGCCTGCAAGTACCCGTACTGCCCGACTCTGCAGGCAACCCAAGGGGCCGGCAGCGCTTCCCCAGGCTCCACCCTAGATCAGGATAAAGCCAGTCTTTGAGGCCAGACGTAGCCTGATGTAGGTCAGGTGGTGAGTGTCACAGTTCTCCACGGAGCCACACAGGGACCACAAATCGGATTCTTCACTTTCAAGAACAGCTCGGGTCAGGTGCACACCATCCCGTCCTTCAGATGTCTCTCCTCACCCCTCCTGTTCTAAAAGCCTCTGGCGCGTTTCCATAACTACTTCCTCCATTATTTCTGGCTTTAAGAGGTCTTTGATCTAAAGAAGAAAAGGAAAAGGGGTATCTGTTCAGAAAAGAAACCGACCATAAGCAGACATCCAAACGCAGAAGCCAAGCATGGTTACTATAAACCTTCCATATTCCTTTCATTTTTTTCTTTTAAGATTTATTCTTATTTATTTATTTATTTTTAAAGATTTTATTTATTAGGGGGCGCCTGGGTGGCTCAGTCATTAAGCGTCTGCCTTCAGCTCAGGTCATGATCCCAGGGTCCTGGGATTGAGCCCGACATTGGGCTCCATGCTGGGCGGGAAGCCTGCTTCTCCCTCTCTTGCTTTTCCTGCTGGTTCCCTCTCTCGCTGCATCTCTGTCAAATAAATAACTAAAATCTTAAAAAAACAATAAAGATTTTATTTATTTGACAGAGAGAGAGCGAGCGAGCGAGCATGTGCACAAGCAAGGGGACCAGCAGGCAGAGAGAGAGGGAGAAGCAGGCTCCCCACTGAGCAGGGAGCCCGATGCAGGGCTCGATCTCCATGACCCGAGCCGAAGGCAGATGCTTAACTGACTGACCCACCCAGGTGCCCCTAAGATTCGTTTATTTTAAAGAGTGAGAGAGAACACACGAGCAGGGGAAAGGGCAGAGGGAGGGAGGGAGAGAGAATTCCAAGCAGACTGCACTGAGTGCGGAGCCCGACATGGTGCTCGATCCCATGACCCCGAGATCACGACCTGAGCCAAAATCAAGAACTGGCAGCTCAACCGACTGAGCCACGCAGGCGCCCCTCTCTGTTCCTTTATTGGAGGCTAAGTATTGCAAGATAGGATCTGCCAGAAGCAGCTTAATGAACCATCAAGATTCTCTGGTATCCGGCGGACAGGAACAAAGACACGGTTCTTGGGATTCGCTAAAAAGATAAAGCTAAAATTTGGGATGGGAGATGAAGTCCAGAGAGCTGCTGTCCTAAGCTAGTCCTCCCAGCACCTCCATCCCTCCGTAAATCCTTGGACTGACACGAGACACCGAGGCTATCCCAAGTATTTTGGGGGAGGCTCTACCGACACTAGACAGGGCCGTCGGCAGATCTGTTTCCACCCCCGCACACGGTGAAGGTACTGGGAGACGCACTTGCGATCCCTCCGGAGACACTGGAGCAGTGGACACTCGTCTTACAGACAGACGAGGAAGAGGGGAGGCACGGCTGGAGCGAGTACCTGATGCGGAAGGGACGCCTCGTAGCAGTACAAGATGCTGGTGTCATACAGCATCACCCTCTGGGTGACCAGTGAGACGATGCAGTTCCGGAGCCGGGAGATCACCTCTCGGTCGGCGAGGGAGACGGGCTACCCGCGGAGGCAGAGGGAAACACAGTCACAACCAAGGTCAGCGAACAGTCGTGGCAAAGCACAGAAATCATTTGTAACTTCGACCTAGGACTCCAGGACTCCAAAACAATCAACCGCTGACTGCAAAGGAGGTCAGAAAGGACGGCGCTTCGGCTGCCAGGACCCACAACCTGCCACCCCTGCCACCAGAGAGCACCCCAGTTCCACGTCATCGTAAGGAGAAGGCAAGACGATGTTCGTGGAGACTCGAACTCCCTCAGTCTACAGCAATCACACGGTTTAAAACCAACCGGCTCCTAGGGCGCCTGGGGGCGGACCGGTCAGTTAGGCGTCCGACTTGGGTTTCAGCTCAGTCAATTTCAGGGCTGTGAGATGGAGCCCCGAGCTGGGCTCTGCCTCTCCCGCTCTCTCTCTCCCCCTCCCGCCCCTGCTTGTGTGCGCTATCAAATAAATAAATAAAACTTTAAAAAATAAAAAAAGTTTTTAAAATGGTAACAGCCAGCTCCACCCGGCCCAGAAGCACAGCGAAGACCCAGCGCCACTCGGCCCAACAGCAGCAACGGTGTTTACTCACCTCCAGGTTGGCAGAGAAGGCCCCCGCGTCCTCTTCTTTGTGCTCCGGCGTTGGGTAGATCCAGATGAAGCCGTTGTTCCCCAGAATCACTGAGGCCCCACATGGCAGGTCATGGAAGTGAGTCTTCTGCCGCTTGACCAGGGAGGGGGAAACCTGGACCAACACCCCCTGGCCGAGCTAAAGAAACAGCATGAACGAAGTCACTGGAGGGTCACGAGTGAAGGGCGTAAAAAGCAGAGCCAACAGAAGACCCATCCTCGCTCTGGTGGAGTCACGGCCACTCCCGTTAACAACTGCAGTCGCCTGTGCGTACACACAGGGTAACTACGCCCAGAGGACACTTGTGGATGCAGAGGTTGTCGACGCACCCCAGGAGCAGGTGACTCTCCATACTCCTCTCATCCTCCTGCCATTCTTATCACGACATCCGTATCTGGGGCCAGTGCGCTGGCAGTCAGGCAACCGGGCGGAGTGAGGACGCGCTCCTGAGCCTCTTGTGGGCCGGTGCGTTCTGTTCCACCTGGACCCCAGCCACCCACCTCGCCCGGGAGATGTACGCTGCTGGGCAAGGGCAGCGGCTGAGGGCTGGGTGCAAATCCATCCCTGGTGGGGGGAGGGCAACGCCAAGTCCCCATCCCGCGGAGGGAGGGTCTGTAGTAGCCAGGCCCCAGAAGGCATGAGCATGGCTGACCAGAGGTGCTCCACAAGGGAACAGGCTTCTGTGCCGCTCAGAAAGCGAAAAGATTCCCCCAGAGAAAGCCAAGACTGGTAAGTCATAATCTGTTGTAGAAAGTATGCTGGCGTGGGGCACTGAGGTGGCTCAGTCGGTTAGTCCCCTGACTCTTGGTTTTGGCTCAGGTTGTGAGCTTGGGTTTGTGAGATCGAGCCCCATGTGGGTGCCCCGCTCAGCAGGGAGTCTGCTTCTCTCCCTCGACCCCTCCCCTTGCTCACGTGTGCTCTCTCTTGCTCAAATAAAGTGAATCTTTAAAAGAGAAAAAAAATATGCTATCGTTAAAATGGTAAAAGCCTCAATAATGGAACTTCATATAAGAAAAGCAGTGACAGTTCATTTAAAGGCCCAAGTGGTGAACCAATCTTTCCTAGTAAAGACACCCACTTTATTCGACTGGACATTTGTCTCGAGCCAAGGCCATCGGGTTTCAATATGACCTCCCTTTGCTCCTGGCCCCAGCACAAGGCCATGGCCCCCCGGAGTGAGCGGGGCCGCAGGGCACGGGAGCTCTTCTGCCACACCGGTCTCCTCAGTAATAAGAGAACAGGAGCTGTCGTCCGTGACCATGCCACTGAGCCATGACCGTGTGAACCTGCCACTTTGCAGGACGCCAGCCTGTCACGCTTAACTTCCAGGGCTCTTTAGGGCTGAATTCCAGAGAGCACCAGGGATTTCAGAAATGGACTGAGGTCTCAGTCAGTATCCAGGAATAGCAAGAGACCAACTTACTTTGCCGTATTTCAGACTCCTCGTGTGCAGCGACACCGCTCCATCTGAGAACACCGCCTGCACCTCCGCCTGGCCGGAGTGCTAAAGGAGCAAACCCTCTCATGGCACCTGCTCTCCCTGGGGCCCCGCCCCCACCTCTCCATCCTCTCCTCCCATCCCCAATGGTCCCACCTGCAGCCTTAGATCCGGAGGACATCACCCTGACCTAACCTCTCCCCACTGGTTCCCACTAATCTCTTGATGTGAACAACACCTTTTCTACTCCCTGCACAAAAGCTAGCCTGGTTATGAAAATCTGAGTCTAGCTTGAAGCATGGGCCACCGTAAGGGATAAACCCGATGAAATGACCGAGGCAGCAGGCCTGAACAGGAGCGAGGGGGTTCAGGTGGGTTAAGGAGGGGGAGGAAGGCTGCAGCAGAGCCCGTGACACCTGATCTAGGATCCAGATCCCCGCCAGGACTACGAGTCTCCAGGCGGAGGCATCTGATCGAAGCCCCATTTCCCAGCTCCGCATAAAGCACAGAGATGCTGTTATCCAAGGTGCAGGATACACTGATGAGATCCCCTTCCTGCAAGAAACCTCTCATGGCCAGCTCGTCTTCCGCAGATCTTCTTCTCTGAAATACACAAAGCGATGACGTGACTTAAGTCAGATCCTGCAGAAAGATCTCTGGAACCAGCCACAGTATTCCGACACTAGAGTAGGTAAGCAAGAACGCCAAAGCGATCACCACCACTTTCCCTCTTACAGGCCTTCCCACAGCTCCCCGCCTCCCTCCTCTTTCCCTCCTTTCTCTGGACAGTATTCCAACTCCTTACGTGCTACTGAAACCCATCCCAATCATGCCCAGCCTCCCTTTCTACACTCACTGTCCACGGCAGCCCTCCATGCAGCCACAGAGCCAGACTACCCGCAGCCTGACTCTATCTTTACTCACACATTTCCCGTATCTGGAATCCCATTCTTCAGGGATCCACTCTAACGCCCCTTTCCTACAAGCATCTCCCGGCGAAATCACTCCCTCTTTCTGTACAGTCACACACTTGTTTATTCTCCGACTGCCAGGGACTTAGATCAGTTATCTCACTTCCCCTGCTAATCTGTGAGCTCTTTCAGGAACTCAGTCAGGCCTCCTTTATCTTGCATTCTCCAGAGAACCGAGCACTGAGCCTCTCTGTACAGACATGCTGAACTGAAGATAAACCAAGGCATTTTACAGAAGGCCGCCCCTTAGGCCCTGGAGTTGTCTGGGATGACCAAATGCCATTCAACTGACGAAAAGCTAACCTAAACACAACTCTTCTGGGGACACCTTCCCTGTGCAAAACAGATACACCCAAACAAGGAAGATGAGCACCAGGCAACCGAGAGCTTCTCTTCCAACTCTCTTCTGGGGTCACTCCCCACCGCCGTTCCAGATCTTACCACATGCCAACTACCACTTACGTTGGGAGGCCCAGGCCGAGTGAAAAGCCCACGTGTGCATCTAGGCAGCAAACCTCACAACAGACAAACAAAGGTAAAAAAAAGGCAACCTCAGCACCAAGCAGAGTTCTCTAGTGGAGCAGTGGACCCCAGAGCCTTCTCTAGCAAACTCTACAGTACTGGCCTGCAGACCCTCACCAGCTCTCCTCCAGGAAGGTTCATGGATGACAGAAGCAAGACTGAATCCAACCTCGAGTTGGTCTCCACCTTCCACCTCTTCTGTTGGACCTACAGAGAAATTCCACAGTTGGACACAGACTCTAGGGGCAAGAGCTCACATCGTCAGCGACCCATAATCCCCAATACAACAAGCCAACTGTCCTATATCAAAGGGCACATAGGCACGCCTGGGTGGCTCAGTTGGTTAAGCATCTGCCTTCAGCTCAGGTCATGATCCCAGGGTCCTGGGATAGAGCCCCATGGGGCTCTGCGCTCAGCGGGAAGTCTGCTTCTTCCTCTCCTTCTGCCCCTCCCCCACCCTACTTGTGCGCTCTCTCTCAAACAAAAAAAATAAAATCTTTTAAAAGGGGGGGGGCCCATAAGAGTCAAATATAATGAATGCCCCACTTGCGTAACTACAGATAGAATGACTATCCCATTCATTCAATCACCAGCTTGCTTCTACTTTGTAAATACCAACTTGATATCGACTTTACCTCTGTGATTCTCCCCACCACAATGTCTCCTACTTCACCATTGTATCTGGAAGATAAAACAGGTCATCCATCAGTGAACAGACCTTATCACAAGACGAAGCACCACTGGAGATTTCAGTTCCACAGGATTAGGCACCCTGCTGAGGTATGGCAAACTCACCTAACTATGCTGTCCGACTTATTTCCAGAAACTGGAAACTTTAAACACTCCTACATGCATAAAGTCTCCATTAACTATTCTTGGACATTTATTCCAAGTAGTTCGTTAAGCCTGAAATTCCTAGTTTGTTAATTACATGACACTGTTAAGCACGGACTATTTCCTGGTGGGCTCTGGAACACAGATGGCTTCTTCATCAACAAAGGAAAAGGAGGAGGAGACTGAGACAGGACCTCACCCAAACCAATCCACTCACGGTCTCCTCCACCCACAGGTGCTCAACTCCAGCCCCAGTGCTAGTCCTTATCCCACTTCTAATGAAGACATGTTCCACGCTGAAGGCTCCAGCCGCGGACCTCTACTCTGTCGGCCCTCACTCACCTCTTGCTGAGCTCATCCAACCTAGTGACTTTAAAGACCAATGACTATGCCATTCCCCCAAGTTCTAGACTCTGGTCAACTGTTGCCCAGCATCTCTATTTACATGACTAATAGGCAGTTCCAAATGTCACCAACCTAAAGCAAAGCTTTCCAGTAGCCCCCTCTCCAGCCCCCATCACAAACTGGTCCTCTCCCAGCTGGCAGGGCTCAGTAAACAGCAACACCATTCCTCCAGCTGCTCAAGCCAGAAGTCCTGGGAGGCCTTGGAGGAACACTAGATTTCTCTCTCACTCCAGGACAAGTCCAGCAGCTGATCCTACTGGCTCTACCTTCGAAATATACAGAAATAAAAGGCATCCAAATTGGGAAACGAAGAAGTAAAAACTATCTCCATTCACAGACAAAGTCCTATATATGGAAAATCCCAAGGAATACAAAATCCAACACCCTTGTGTGAAAAGCAAAACAAAAAAACCAAAAAACTTAGAACACAAAATGTATACAGAATCAGCCATTACTCCCCACTTCTACTGCTCGTCCAAGCCACCATTACTTCACATGATGGAAACAGTCCATTAATCGTCTCCCTAAGGCTAACCTTGTTCCCCTTCAATCTCTCCCAGCAGCCAGAGTGATTTTATTAAGACAGAAGTCAGACCGCGTCCCTCTTCTGCTCCACTCCTTCCAGGGGCATCCTAGACTACATTAAAGTGGAAGACACAATGCTTATCCAGGCAGGCTGCCCCTACACTCCCCCTTGCTCACTCTGTTCCAGCCCCGTGTGCTTCCTTTCCACTAACCTTTATTGAGCCCTTCTAGGCAGCGGGCCCTGTGCTGAGTACTTTACATCCCATTTCCATGAATTCTAACGAAAATCCTACAAGATGGATCATGCTTTCATACTCATTTTGCAGAGAAGGTAACCAAGGTTTGGAGAGGTCAAGTAATGTGAGGAAACTTTTGTAGCCCACACTTGCCTATAGTCACCTATATACCCCTTCTATTGCCATGTTCAAAACCGCAGACCTACTGGATGATAAAGCTGGTGCGGATCGGGGGTGCGGTGGAGAATGTTCCTGGCCGTATAACATGAATGACACAAGAAAGAATACACACCTTTTGTTCTCACCTGGTTTTCAAAGCTTTCACACAGATCAACTTGTTTACCCTCTCCACGGAGCCGGCCACGGATGCAATGAGCTTCTCTTCCCCCATGTAAGTTCCATGGCCCCTGTTTTGAGAGTAGGATACAAGGGATACAAGAGTAACTCTTGAGATGACCGCTCCCTTCAAGAACCCTGTATTCCTGGGGTGCCTGGGTGGCTCCGTCGTTAAGCGTCTGCCTTCAGCTTAGGTCATGAACCCAGGGTCCCGGGGCATCGGGCTCTCTGTTCAGCGGGGAGCCTGCTTCCCCCTCTCCAACTCCCTCTGCTTGTGTTCCCTCTCTCACTGTGTCTCTCTCTGTCAAATAAATAAAGTCTTAAAACAAAACAAAACAAAAAAACCCAAAACACCATGTATTCCTAACAGGCTCCTCCTGCTTCAAAGTCTGGCTTCTCTCTGTGCCCTGAACACTGTTTAAGAGAGCTACAGAGACATCTGCCCTTGTCTTCCTCAAGTCTACTCAAACGTCACGTTCTCCACTGGGCGTACCTTGATTACCCCATTTAAAATAGTCACCCACCTGCTGCCACCACCCCCACCATATTCCCAACCCCATTCCACTTACCCTGCTCAACTTTGCATTTTCCTCACTGAATTTATCAGCAAACATACCAACTTGTTTGTTGTGCTTATTGTTTATTATCTGTCTCTCTCTGGTGATATGCAAACTCCGTGACACACATTTCCCTACTTTGACCACAGTTGTACTCCAGCCACCCATAACACAAATACAGGCTGAATTCATGAAGGACTGACACTTAAGATTCCTTAGGATCCAATAACCTCAAACTAAAAAGTTAAAGAGCAATATTATAAGTGTTGTACCCCCCAACCACCAAAAGACTGAAATACCACTACTGTTTATCTATGATAGTGATGTAAAGGTGAGTTTTGCTTTTCTTCTTCTTCTTTTTTTTTTTTTTTTAAGAGAAAGAAAGAAGAGGGGGAGAGGCAGAGAGGGAGGGAGAAAATCCCAAGGAGGCTCCAAGCCCAGTGTGAAGCCTGGGGGGTGAGGTTTGCAGGGGCTGAATCTCAGGACCCTGAGATCACACCTGAGCTAAAAATCAGGAGTCAGACACTTAACAGAGTGAGCCACCCAGGCGCCCCGCTTGTTCTCTTAATTATTTCCTCATTTAATTCTCACTTCCCTACCAAAGAGTTACTGTTATTATCATCATCTTACAGATGAAGAAACTGACCTCGGAGAGGAAATACAACTTATAACATGTGATGGCACAGGACTGAAATCCCAACTCTCTGGCTCAAGAGCCTGCTCTCTTAACCGCACATAGTGTACTGCCTTCAGATTCAAAATGTGGACTTGGGTGCGTGTAGCACAATCTACTGTATATGCCCTGAGCCCAAACAATTACTGATTTCAAAACCGAGCACCTGGCTAAGAGATGTCGCCTAGAGAAGAGGCCGTGTCAGGAATGCCCACTGTCCCCTCATCTGAAAACCAGAAGAGGCCCCTGATCCTAACCCTCCCCAGTTTTGCAGGTCTCCAACGTAGGGGAGGAAGGCTCAGAGATCAGGGCCTCAGGCAGAGAACCCAGGAGTCTCTGACACCGGAGGTTAGGAGAGAAGGATTTCCAAGGACCGAGGCAAACGCAGAGGGGGACAAAGTGCATTGAGTGAAAAGCCGGAGGACTCGGAAACAAGGGAGCTCAGATGATCAGCTGTGCCCTGCGTCCGCTGGTACTTAGATGCAAGGGAACAGAGGCCACGTGCAGACAGCCCAGCAGGCGCCCTTTGGGGCCCCGAGTCCCCAAGTCCCCACGTACCGCATGAATCCCGTGTCCGTGGTGATTGTGTCCCCCGGAACCACCAGATGTTTTTTAGTATCGCGGCCCACGCTCTCGCTAAGAGGCTTGCGAGCCACGGGAAGCCTCATCTCCATCGCCATCTTGGCGCCAAAGAAAAGCGCAGGCGCAGTCCGGCAGGGAACCGCGACGTCCGTCTCTGCGGTTCCCAGCCGTCGCACGGCGGGGCGGGGCGGGGCGGGCCTCAGAGGAGCCGCCAATGGGAACTCACAGTCTGGCGGCCATGTTAAGTATTGGCAATCATTTCGCTAACATAAAGGGAGTGAGGAAGCCAAGTTGCCATTTTTACTATTGGCAAGGCATCACCTGAGGAATCATGAAATCTCAGGTTGCATGGCGTTTGATTCTTAACCAAAAATCTCTAGTAATCATCATCCCATGTATGGTTTGTCAGAGTTAGAGATCATTGAGAATTGGGCTTGTGAGTCTCCTTCCAACTCTAAGTTGCTAAAATGTGATTCTTTGGTAGGTGGGATCTACAGAAAATACAGTTGGAAATAAAAAAGAGGCCCTATTCATACTGTTCCTAGTAGCCCCAGTATTCTACTTTACTGCCTCCTCGTGGGTGCTGGTTCGGCACCAAACAGCCACCTCTACCCCCAAACAGTGTTCCAGATGCTGATTCTGCTCTTTCTTAACAACTTCTTTTGAATGAGCTGATTCACTCTAACTTAAAAAGAAAACTCCCTAAGAAAATATGCAAAAGTTGCAAAGCAGCCCTATTTTGTAGGGAGGGCAGGTGCACACCTAATACAAAGATATGGGCTTATATTTACTCATACTATAAATTAAGCCCTCTTTGTGTGCCAGGAGCTGTTCTAAGGATTCAATAGTGGGCAGACAGATGTATATGTGGCTATATCTCCATGTCCAGTTTATTTTTTAAGACTTTATTTATCTGAGAGAGAGCAAAAGTGAGAGAGATCACAGAGGGAGAAGGAGAAGCAGGCACATCCCTGAGCCGAGAGCCTGATGTGGGTCTCAATCTCAGGACCCCAAGATCATGACCCAAGCCGAAAGCAGATGCTTAACTGACTAAGCCACCCAGGCACTCCCTCTGTATCTTACTTAGTAGCAGCACTTCCCTCCTCCCTGCTTCCCACTACCCTCTCCCTCCTCCTTGCCCTACATAATTTATAGAATCCACAACAAACTGCATTTCAGCCTCAGGGAACTGGAGCTGATGATTATGCACAGGGACCCTAAAGAGGATTAAATAACTTGTATCAGCCTCACGCACTGTACTCAGTAAATCAGGTTCACCGCCTCCCAAAGATCCATCAGACCAGTTTGCTAAACCTCTGAAAGGACATTTCTTTCTGAGCAAAGCTCACAACTAGATCTGTCAAGAAAGCCAATCCTGCAAGGCAGTCAACGATATAAATTCCAGGACTCCATGGGACGTCCACAGGTCAGACACTTCCCCTCCTGCCTGGAGGAAGGGGATAGAGATACGAAAGTGTGAGAAGGGTCCATCTGCTGAGTCTGGCCTCCGCCATAAGAGGGCAATGGTGTCCTATGAGCCAGGGTAGCCCAGTCCGCTAGGGAGCTAGGCCTGGGAGTGCCCCTAGACCAAGAGTAGGGTACTCTGGACATCATCCACTTTCATCCCAGGAGGGACGGACATAACCTCTGCCTCTCCCATTCTCACAGCACCCACGTTTCCAGGGACTGTCGCAGCATTGGGATTATGACTACTTAGTATAGTGGAGGATTCCGTGTCTGTTGAGAGATGGCTTCCTGGTTCACAGACAACTCACTTCTCACTGTTTCCTCGTATGGCCCAGAAGGGGTGAGAGGAGTCTCTGGGGTGTCTCTTCTAAGGCACCCTGGTGAACTCATCACCTCCCAAAGGACCCACCTCCTCATGCCATTAACTTGGGGGTTAGGATTTCAACACATGGATTTAGGAGACACATATCCACTGCAGATACTTTTTTATAGAAGAAGAAACGAGGGGCCAAAAAGGACTAAAATGCACAGAGTGGTTGGTGGCAGGGACAGTGTTCCTTCCTACTGCACCTGCTTTGCCCCAAAGCCTGCGCCATTTACCAAACACTTCTCCAGGGCCTTGTCCTTTGCTGGATGCTTTATTGACACATGCTACTTATTCCTCACACTTGACCCATCTTGGAGGTAGGAATTGCTATTCCTGATGGTCCTTGGGGTCTCTGAGTCCCACAAGAGACTTGCAGTTGGGACTGGCACCTGAGACTCCAGACTCCTCACCAGTGCTCCTCTCTGCATCACACTTGTTTCTTCATACCACGCAGACACCTGGGCACCCAGAAACAGAGTGCACATCCCAGAGGGGCTTATTAGGAATATGGATTCCTCGGGGCACCTGGGTGGCTCAGTTGGTTAAGCGTCTGCCTTCGGCTCAGGTCATGATCCCAGGATCCTGGGATTGAGCCCCACATTGGGCTCCCCACTCTGCGGAAAGCCTGCTCCTGCCGCCCTGCTTGTGCTCTCTCTTTGTGTCAAATAGGTAAGTAAAATCTTAAAAAAAAAAAAAAAAAAAAAAAAAAAAAGGGCTATGGATTCCTGAGCCCAAACTTGGGCACTGAGGTACTACAAAGGTGGGGTCTTGGAAATCTGTGAGTGTGTGTTTAACTCCCTCAATGATTTGAATGGCCTATCGGGTCTAACATTCATCAGTTCCCCCCACATCCATCTACCTCCCATCTGTGCACTTTCCTCAGGCCCCTCAGTCATCTCTTACCTAGGCACCACCTCTAGGCTGGTCTCCTGGGTTTTACATTTGCCCCTCCTACCATCCAATCACCAAACAGCAGCCAGAGTGAGCTTTTAAAAACACATCAGGTTAAACCATTTTCCTGCTTAGAGCACTTCTGGCAGCTTCCGTTTACACCAAGAATAAAATCCAAACTCATCTTCATGGGACCTGTCTCTGAGCTCGCTCCCCTCCTCACCCGACCCCTTACTCCCTCCACCGCAGTCAGATGCGCCGGTCTCACCTGCCTTCATTCCACACACACTGCTCTGGTCACCACCCCAAGATCGGTGTACTTGGGATGCTCCTGGCATGGAATTCTCTTCCCGTGGGTCTTGGTGGGGCTGGCTGCTGCTTCTCACTCAGGCCTCAGCTCAACTCTCACCTCCTCACAGAAAACTTCCCTGACCACCTTCTCTGGAATAATCCTTGGTCCCTTTTTTATCACTCGATTCTGTCTCCTTTCTTGTCACTGAATGTTCGTGTTCGTTTATTGCAGACTTCCTCCACCAGAACGGGGGTCCCTCCAAGAACCAGGGGCTTTATGTCTTGTTCATTGTGTATCAGTGCTCGGAACTGAGGCCCCTTTCTGGGTTAGCCATTCCCTACCAACCTATCCAGAGCCCACACCCTCAACCACCTCCTTTGGGGTGGGGGGCAGCAGGGTCGCTCTGGGCCACTCTCCACCTGCCCTAATCCCACCTGGACCAGGTACCAGACACGTGGGGGCAGGTTCCTGGAGCACTTGTCTTTGAAGCCCTGGGCCGACATGCAAGATGTCTGATTTGGCCGAGGCAGCCATGTTGCGGGAAGCATTTGGCACGGGTGCTAATCAGCCCCCATCTGGAACTTTCCCCACCAGCCACAGACATACATCCCAGCAGGCCAGCTCTGAGGCGGGAAGGAAGCTGAAAGTTTGGGGTATCTGTTCCTCTATTTCAAGAGATCCAAGAATAATGGATATGGCAAAGGATAGGGGAAGAGGGATTGGACAGCTGCTTCAGATGCCCTCTGGGGGAATGCCCAGTGGGGTGGGTGGTAGAAGCTGCAGCCCTTCTCACCCACCAAAGGCACCCCTGTCTTAACAACGGCTTCTGTTTGTTGAACTTAACGTTGTGTCAGTCATGACGCCATATGCTTTACTTGTTGATATACGTTAGCCCACTTACTCCTCACAACATCCCTTTCCATTTGAGAAAACTGAGGCACGGAGAGGCTAACTGCCTTGCCTCGGGTCACACAGCCAGGGAAGGGCAGCAGAGCAGGGTTTCAAAGCAGGAACTCCTGCCAGGAGTTCCTGAACCGTGCAGTAAGATGACAAAAAGAAAGAAAAAGCCATCTTGATTGGAAAGCAAGAAGTAAAACTGTCTCAATTTGGAGACAACATGATCATATACATAGAAGCCCTGAGGAATCTACAAAAAAGCTTCTAGAATGAATAAGTGAGTTTTGCAAGGCTGAAGAATACAAGGCCAGTATATGGGCTGGTCCGCACTGGATCCCTGTGGGACATGCCCAAAGCACTTTGGACCGACTCTGTGGGCCGACTGGGATGCGGTTGGCCTACTGGTTGGTCATGAGCATGGCTCCTAGGGTCAGTGGCCATGGCAAAAACTGCTCTACCACTGCCCACAGGTGACGTGGGCAAATGATTTACTCTCTAGCTCAGTTTTCTTCTACTTCAAATGGATATTAATAGTGCATCAGGGAGGAAAAAAGAGCATCAGCCTCACAGGTTTGTGGGAAGGATTCCCAGAACAAGTGCATTTAAATCCCTAAGGCCAGAAACTGCCAGTGGTGTTCGCGTGCCTTTGTGGGGAGGAGAGGGTGTGGAGAGGGGCTTGGGGCATCTGCTGGGAATGCAAGCACGGTAAGAGCTGAGGCCTTCGGAATCAGGCTTCCCACCAGTGTGCAATTCTTCAGGACCCCCATTCCACACTGCTCATCCTTGGATCTCTCTCGCCAGCACATTTCCAGAGGTCCGTAGCCCGGGGAGCCAAGGCAGTTTAGCCTGCAATTACAGCCTGCTGCCACCAGGCGGGTTCTGGAGCCCGGGCTGTGGATCCTGGGCTCTGCAGCAGGGACTTCTCAGAATGGAATTACCCAGGGAGAGCCATGGAGATTTTTGGTCAAGGGCCCTACTGCCCTCTCTGAAGTCTGACTGCTGAAGGAAGCCAGCATTACTCTCCAGGAGGCATGGCAGGTGGGTGAGGAGGGTGTTTAACTCTATTGGTCAGCATCCAGTGGAAAGGAGATTCAAGATTTATTTATGGAAACAAGAGGCCTCTGTGGGGCCTACAGTAGGTGGAAGGTAATACCGGGGGCCACTGGAGGCATCAGAAGCCTAGCGGTGAGGTTTCAAGGAGAGGCCAGGTTGGTGACAAGGGGAGGAGGAGTACCAAGGGTGACTTTCCCCGTTGACCCTAGGAAGGAAACCCCAGATGAGCCTTGCAAATGGACACACCGAGTGTACATCTCTCCCCGTGCTTCCATCTGCCCAGGTACAAGACCAGTCCCCCAAAGTATGGGGGTCTTTGGGAGTACCTGAAGCTCCAAATGGGGATGGCCTGCCTATAAAAGTGTGAGCTCAAGTGTCTTCCTGTATGTGTGTGTGTGTACTCGTGGGCACATGTACGTGGCAACTGAGGATGCATAGACATGTGCTTGTGGGATGCCAGTGGGTTGGACAGGTGACCCTCCAACTCACAGATGTTGGAATACAGATGAGAACTCACACTCTCCAGGGGGCACACCTCCTCCTGGCCAGGAGGTCCTGGAATAGGAGAGCCAGGGCCTGGTCCTGCACTGATGGCCTTCCTGGTCTTTTGACTTCCTCAGGGAGGGTCTGGAAATGGGTACCCCAAGCATTTGGAAATTCTAGGCATCGGGAGGGCACTTGGTGGCCATCTTGGTCCACCCCCACGGGCTACTTGAATACTCTTAAGTTGTCCATGAAAAGAAAAAAAAAAAGGTAGGTAATGATTTGGGGGAAGTAACAAAGTGGGACGCCAATATTTGAGAGTCAGCTGGAAGCATGAAGATTACACCCAGCCCCGTCAGAGATTTCTGGTTGCTTTGAACTGTGGCAATCTCTTTGGGAGCTGACATCCCAGGTGTGCCAGAGAATTTTCCTTGGGGAGGGCACAATAGTGACTTTCAAAAGCAGTGGAACAACTCTTCCCATCCCCTCTCCAGTTCCTAGGCACTTTCCACATTTCCTCTTCATGCAGATATGCAGATAAATGTGTCGACCCCTTCGGATGCTAAGTGATAAATGTTCCAAGTAATTTTTATTTTAGAATACAAGAGAGGTACAAATGTATTTACAGTTGTACATATACAATCAAATAATATATATCACAGTTTCGTAAATATCATTTTAGATAAATATTTACAAAGTTAAAGTGACCATTTTCTGGAAGTAGAACACAGTTTCTTGAAAACTCTATACATTTTATACTTTTCATTATTATTATAGTTTCTTTATTTTACAAAACGCCCTTCGGGAGTTCTGGTACATGACTGCAAGGTGGGACAGGAGACACCAGAGGGCGTCCACGGCCAGAGTTTGGGGAGACTCGGGAGGAGGCAAGGGAGGGTGTGGGTAGGCGGGGCGGACACCCCCCACCGCCCCCACCACCAGGATCGCACACTGCCTGGAAGTGCTTTCTCCGCCGAGAAGCCAGTCTTGCCCTCTTCCCGCAGGAGTGTGGCCAGGAGGGGAAGGGACGCTTCTCCTCCCTGAGCAAGAAGTCAGAGATGAAGGGGAGGAGACATGGCTCCAACGATCTCATTTTACGGATGGGGAAGGGGGAAACTGAGGCCCCAAGAGGGCCTTCCTCGGGTACCCCAGTGGATTTCCGTCTGCCCTCGCGCTCGTCCTGCCCGGCACATTGTACCCTGTTCGTGCCTCGTCCCTCCCCGGGAGCCGGCTTTGGGGGTAAGGTGGCCAGAAGGGGAGAAGGGCCCGCCTGCCAGGGAAGAGCAGGTCTCGGGTCTCTTCTGGCTGCCCCAGAGCCCCGCCAGCCCCCAGCTCTCAAGATCGTGTCGGTGACTCGCGACACCGAGGGGCACCAGTCCCAAGAGGCAGCCGGAGGGGCCGTGCGCGCACCGGCCCGCCGCCCTCCTCCCGCCGCCAGGCTCCCCGACCCCGCTGAGGCCCTGCCACCCCCGAGGGATGCCAGCCCGGGAAGCCGGCTGGACAGGTGTGCCAGAGCGCCCCCGGCGCCGGGCGTGGGGACCCTCGAGGAGGAGGCGGCCGAGCAGCCGCCCCAGCCGGGTGGCCCGCAAAAGGGACCCTTGCCCCTCCGTGTTCTCACCTGCGAGACGGAGCGCAGACTGTGTGCCTAGGGGGTCACTTGTTGGGACGCACCTACAGCGCCGGGCGCCGGGCCCTCTGCGGCCGGGGTGGGGGTGTCAAGCGAGGAGAGAACAGGCCCGGCCCGCGCCCAACGAGCTGGAGGCGGGAGGCGGGAGGCGGGGCGCGTGGGCGCGAGGAGACGGGGAGCGCGTGCTCGGCGTGCGCGTGCGCGGCGCTCACAGCACCATGGCCGGCAGGTGGTGCGGCGCCGCGGCGGCGGCGGCGGCGAGCGCGGGCGCGTGCGCGTGCGGCGCGGGCAGCGCGGGCGAGTGCGGCTGCAGCGCGGCGCTGGGCGGCCGGTGGCGCGCGCTCTTCTGGTGGGCGCGCAGGCCGGCCAGCTGCGAGTAGGCGCTCTGGCACACCTGGCACTTGTAGGGACGCTCGCCCGTGTGCAGGCGCACGTGGTTGCGCAGCGTGGACGACTGGCTGAAGCGGCGGTTGCAGAAGCGGCACACGAAGGGCTTGTCCAGCGTGTGGATGCGCATGTGCGAGCGCAGGTTGCTGCGCGAGTTGAAGCCGCGGTGGCAGATGACGCAGCGCATGCGGCCCGCGGTGCCTGCCGCCGAGTCCGCCGGGTGGAAGTCCTCTGGCCGCGCGGGCGGGGCGCGGTGGGGGGCAGGTGCAGGGGGAGAGAGAACAGCCTCGTTACGACCGGCGCCCGGCCGGACCCGCCCCGCCCGCCTCGGATCCACGGGGGTGAGGGCGCGGGTCTGAGCAGGCTGCTTGGCGGCGCTGCCAGAGGGATGGGAGGAACTTGAGGTCAAAGAGGAGTTGGACTCCAGACCGTGCTGTGAGACCTCGGGGGCTGAGTGACTTCGCCCCCGAACCTCAACGTCCTCATCTGTAAAATGGGTACCGACTACGACTTCGCGGGGCTATGCACAACTTCCGGAGATGATCATAAAAACCTGCACTTTATCTCCCTTAGCCTGTATACGGGAGGAACCTCACTCAAAGTAGCCATCTGTAAATGGCAGGCTTCCACAAAAGGTCCCTCCCCCCAAAAACCCTTTCATTTATTCATCCCACAAATATGTACTGAGTGCTTACTATGTACCAGGGAACTGCGCCTCTCACCTTTCGCATTGCTGAGATGGAGGTAATGGTAACATCACCCCCATAAGCCCGCTGTGAGCATCAGAGAAATTACTGTTTGTAAAACATTAACTCATAAATAGTAGTTCATGAGCCTCAGGTTCTCCCTCTAACCAGATTTCACAAGGGTTTTACGAGGACCCAAGTGGGGTGATACCTGTAAAAGGTTCAGCTCAATACTTGGTATGAAATAGGTCTTGGGCAAATGGTGTCTATTGTGATGACCGGTATCCCCCACAACACACACACAGGCACACTGTACCCCACCTTCATTCAACAGGTTAATACCAAGCGCCTCCACCAGGCCCTGCACCAGGGACAGAGGGAAATATACATTGTCAGAGCTGGAAGGGGGTTTAAAGATCATCTCAGTTTGGGACCAACATCTTGCCTTTACAGATGGAAAAACTGAGGCACAGAGCCCTTCCCAGGATTGTACAGCAGAACGGGAACTCAATCTAGGCTCCCACCACAGGGCCATTACTCCTTCTGCCTCTCTGGTATTCTGCCCACCCAACCTGCCCCCAGATAATTTATTTTGTCCAGAAAACAGTGCCATTTGTGTCCAGACTGTGGTGGTAGCTCTGGGGGGCGTTGGCCTGCTTAAGCCAGTAGCCTCATGGGCTCGATACTGCTGGAGATTGAACCCGGGTCCCTGGATGCCAGGAGCGTGCCGGCCACAACAGGTGCACGCGCTCACTCACTCTCTCACTCTGGGTTCCAGGGGTCCCTTGTCATTATGGCCTCACAGAGGCTACTTACCATGCTTGTTCTTCTTCTGCTCCTCCTCCAGCCCAGGCACACCAGGGATCCCCAGGAAGGTGTTGTGTGAGTTTCCATACCACACCAGCAGCTCCTGGTCAGGCGGGATCATCTACAGAGAAGAAAGGCAGATAAGATCAGGGAGGCAGCAGGCCCCGGGGGTGAGAGTCAGGGTCTCTGCACGTGCTCCTGCTGCCAGGGCAGCTGTCCTGCACCTGCCATGGAGACGTGGATCCAGTCTCGGCCCCAAGAAAGCCACACAGGCCATCGCTAGCAAGCTGCGGAAACACACCGGGCACCTGGGTGGCTCAGTGGGTTAAAGCCTCTGCCTTCGGCTCGGGTCATGATCCCAGGGTCCGCATCTGGCTCTCTGCTCTGCAGGGAGCCTGCTTCCTCCTCTCTCTCTCTCTCTCTCTGCCTATCTGCGATCTCTCTCTGTCAAATAAATGGATAAAATCTTAAAAAAAAAAAAACAAAACTGTGGAAACACAGAAGGCCCTGGGATGCTCAGCCCCTGCCCCTTCCCTACTTCCCCCTCCCAGCCCAGGCCTTCTGGCTATTTCTGTCCAAGCTGCTGCAGCCGCCCAGCCACGTAAGAGTTCCAAAGTGACAGCCGCAGAATGCAAGGCTTGTAGCAAGGTGAGGTACTGGGAGAAGGAAAGCGAGAACACGTTTCCTTTCTTACTGAGGGGAACCAGCGTCAGCCAGCCCTCTGGTCGGCAAGACTGAACCAGATGTTCCCAAGGAGCGTGGGCTGCGGGGCACCCCATGGTACTTAGTTACATCCTGTCTGATAATGTTCTGGAAACATCTCTTACGCAAAACGCCCACAAGGCAGCAGCACGCCCCGTGTACCTCTCTCCCGATCACAGGCTCTGTGTGACTCCGTGCACATGGCAAATGCTAAAAAAGAACCATTGGGGTGGAGGGAAACCCCCCCCCACCTCAGGAAACACTGAGGCACAGAGCCTGGAACAAAATCCATTCCTGCAGGACGGAACTCGACAGATGGTGACAGTTCTCTGCTAATCCCAGGGAGGACCTGCACCAGGGAAATGGGAAGGCCCCTGGGAGGAAGGGGTTTTCAGGGACAGTCCCGGGAGGCTGTGGAAGGCCTGCTCCTGGGGAGGCACGGACCATAAATCCCTCACTCCAGGATGTCCCCAGGGGCCCATAGGCCTGTGGTGAAAGCCGTTAGCCCTCCCAAGTGGGGAACCTTCAGGCCCCAGCCAGCTAAGACAAATGAGAGAGATGGGGTGCCTGGGCTGGCTCAATCCGTGGAGCGGGCGACTTTTGATCTCAGGGTTGTGAGTTCAAGCCCGACACTGGGTGTAGAGAAGACTTAAAAATAAAATCTTTAAAAAAAGAAAAGACTGTTGAAAGAGCCCCCACCCTCCCAAGCCTGCACCCCATAGAGCTCAATTTGCCACCTATCCTGGGGGTCACTCTCTGAGCTTCCCAGGGAAATCTGGCCACACCCAGGCAGCAACTGGTTTGCTTTCCTCCTGGGTCCTCAGCCGCCTCAAAGGAGTTAAAGCGCCAAAAATTCCATCTTGGGGTGTCTGAAATCACGCAAGAATAGGACCCCCTCTTTTGGGTTCCCTGCTTACAGAGAAGGCCTACCCCTTCCATCTGACTCTGGCCTGCCACATGCAACACCCTTCTGTACCACAGCTTCCTTCCTCTGGTCAGAGGCAGGAAGACCCTCAGACCACCAGCCAGCTCTGCTCGGCCCTGAAAGGAGAGGGGCGGGAGAGGAGGGGTGGAGGAAGAAAAGTGTGAGGGGGTCTGGTCACAGCCAGCCTCCTGAGGCTCAGCCTGGGGCCATCGTGTCCCTGCCCCCATGGCCTGTGGGCCATCACGTCAAGCCCTCGGGGTCAGCGAGTGACCGGAAGCCAGGCAGAAAGTGCCAAACTGGCTCAGAGGTACAGGGTCCAAATATAGAAGAGTCAAGTACAGTCCCTGAACCCGAGGAGAATAAGGTGGCCCCTCAAAGAGAGCACGCAGGTTAGAATCTGGCACCACGGCAAAAGTCCTCGAGGCCATTCACAGTCATGGCCGTCATCCTGGGGGTCAGCGGGGCAGAGCTGGAGGCCCTGCTGGAAAGGGGACAGAGAAGACAGAGGTTTCGTGAGTCCCCTAGAAAAGAGGAGGGAGGAAGGGAAACGCTTAAGATCAGTTTGTTGCGAAGGAAACTGCTCCCTGTGGGAGGGTGCCGATGGACCCTGGGCCACCGGGCCCCTGGGAGACCTTAGGCAAGCACTTATCCCCTCTAAGCTTGTGTCCTCAAGTGAGGAGGTGGGGGAACGCGATCCCTGAGGTCCCCCAACTCTGAGACTCTGATTGTAAGTCACCTCTGACACTGTCTCTCTCTCTCTGTCCCGGCCCCTGGCTTCGATGTTCACAATCAGGGTTCTCTGAAAGCAACCAGCCCCCCATCAGACTTGTCTGAAGAGGAGACAGCACTGGCAGAGGTCACACCTCACGTCGGGGTCCACCTGGGCTCCTCACCTGCTGAGCAAGTTGCCTTCTGGTGCTGGGCCTCTGTTTCTGGGACTATAAAAGAGGGACAGTGCCCCTGCTCAGCCTCATGGGGTCAGGGCTCAGCGGAGCCGTGTGCAGAAAACTTTGCAGGGTGGATGGACGCAGGAGCGCGTGTTATAATTTTCTCTGAGCTCGCCAGCATCTCAGGAAAGTCTCCCAGTGCTCCCCACAGAGCCTGCAGCGTGGCTTGGGGCCATGGGCACAGTTAAAACCCAGGGTGACTGGTGGCTTTGCCTTCAGGGACCAACAATATCACAGGCTGGGCTCCGGTGCCACTGCTTCCTGCTTTGCTGGGGCACGGGGTGGGGGGCACCCCCAGGGAGAGCACAGATGGGCAGAGCAGGCTCTGCAAGCCCCCAGCGGATATGGCCCTGAGTTGCACCTCCAGATTCTCAGCCCAGGAATCAAATATCCAAATCAACACCAGCCTTCTTATTGTAATGGACAATAACAATTGTTATTAAATGTAAATTTGAGGCACCGGGGTGGCTCCCCAACCCACTTGGCCATCCCAAGTCAGATGCTTTACAGACTGACTTTGGCTCAGGTCATGATCTCCGGGGTTCTGGGATCAAGCCTTGTGTGGGGCTCTGTGCTCAGCGGGGAATCGGCTTCTCCCTCTCCCTCTGCCTCTCCCCACCCTCCCACCCCCACTCATGCTCTCTCTCTCTCTCAAATAAATAAATAAAATCTTTTTAAAAATTAAAAATATATATAAAATAAATACAACAACAACAGCCTCTGCCTTCGGCTCAGGTCATGATCTCAGGGTCCTGGAATCGAGCCCCGCATCGGACTCTCTGCTCAGCAGGAAGCCTGCTTCTCCCTCTCCCGCTCCCCCTGCTTGTGTTCCCTCTCCAGCTCTGTCTCTCTCTCTCTGTCAAATAAATAAATAAATACAATCTTAAAAAAGCAACAACAGTGGTGATGTGTGAGAAGCCAAGAACTCTGGGTTTGCACAAATTCCGAGTATTATTAAAAATCATTGTTTGGAATATGATTTTCTAAATGAGCACTTTGATACTGACTTTTTTTTTAAAGATTTTATTTATTTGTCGATACTTTTAACATCAAGCGCAGCATTTACTTACTAACACATTTTTTACATGGACTAAAATTAATCTTCCTAGTTAATTTCAGAAATCAGAGCAACAACACAGACACATTGACAAGCCCATGTAAACAGGTAAGGGTTGGGAGGAGGTGAAAAGGGACTCTCTCTCCCACCCTGGACGCCCAGCCGTGGTGGCCAGTTTTCTGTGCTTCTTTCCCCAGCAGGGTTTGTCATTTCGAGACTATTCAAAAATGCTGATTTAAGGTTGGTGGGGAGCAGCACGACAGGCAGAGTGGCTTCTACTTTTTCATATGAGATATCTGATTTTTTAAAAAATAATGAGGACACAGTACTTTTTATACTATCTCTATGTTAAACAAAGAAAACCCGGGTAGCCTGGGTGGCTCAGTCGGTTAAGCATCCGTCTCTAGATTTCAGCTCTGGTCTTGATCTCAGGGTAGGGTGAGTTCAAGCCCCGTGTTGGCTCCACTTAAAAAAAAAAAATCTATTAAGAGGAATCTACTGGAATTGAGAATGGCACAAATATCGAGAAGCCACCAGCACTGGGGAAGGCCGGAGGTGGAGTCTGTTGGCCCTTCAGAGCTTTGAGCCCCTTTGAGCCCAGCAACAGCCCCTGCCCTGGGCGCCTGGTCCCTGCTTGCTCGTTGGTACCCCCCCATGGGATAACCAGGAGGACCCTCAGGACCAGCAGACTCTCTGGGAGATCCTGGCACTATTGTCTGCAGGTTCCCAGGGTCCCGGCAGCTGACCAACTAAGCGCAAAGAACAGCCACTGTCCCCCTCCCAGGCTTCCCCGTCCCTCAATGCTACTGTTTCTTTCTTCGTAGCCGGCTGTAACTGCCAGGACCCTGCCAGGACTGTCCTTTGAGGCCCGGAGAACCAGAATCACAAAGGTGTCCTCTTCGAGGCAACAGGGACTGATGCAGGACACACAGTAAACCAAATAATTCCCCCAGGAAACCGAATCCCGTACCATAAAATCCACATCCCCGAGATTCTGGACGAGTATCGGGGCCTGAGTCTTCCCTTGACAAATTATGTAATCTCTCAGCTTGCGCTTCTGAACCTTCCCCGCCAGCCCAGCCGTTCTGTCCTGCCCCCTTTCTGAATTTTTATTATAAATGGAAACCGATCTGGTTTTGGTTTGTTTTCTTGATCTAAATGTATGTCACACTATTGAACACACTCCCGGGAGGCTCAGACACCCTCCCTTCCCCCCCAGGCGGTGCAGAAACCCTAGTCCAGAAGGATATCTGTGTCATCTGGACGAATATCAATTTCCATTGTACCACAGATGTCCTGACACACCAATTAATAGAGTTCCAGCAAATACGTATTGATCGGGGAGGCCCCACGGCTTGGTGACCAAGAGCTCTGCTCTGGGGTCCGACAAGCCTGGATCCAAATCAAAGCTCACTAATGCCCTGTGATCTCCTTGAACCTCAGTTTTGCCATCATTAAAATGGGGATAGTAATAGTATCTTCACAGAGTGGCGAGGACTCGAGTCTTAAAAATTTGCTAAGACATTTAGCACAGTACCAGCAGGGGATAAATGCTCCATGTATTATCAATGATGCTTATTATTAATAATCAGGGTACCCCAACTGCGTCCACCCCTGAGCAATGTCAAAAGGAAAATGGTGCCAGGAAAAGCAGACATGGGACTCAGGGAGCTGCCATATAAAATGTTTGGGTGCTTGAAAGGAAAAGGAAATCTTTGGGCACAGTAATCTGCCAAGACACCAGGAGGGGAAAGACTGGGAATTTTCTTCCCAGCTCCAGAGTCCAAAGTGCTCATAACTTAATTACTAAATCCTTTCCTTGCATGGAGTTTTGGCATCAGAGGGTCTTGCTTCCTGGGGTAGCTGGTTTTGTTTTTCTGGGAGAACAGGGGTCCGTGTGTCCCCCTTTCGACCCAGTCCCCATCACCTGCAGAAAGACTTACTCATTCGACACCAAATGGTCACTTGCTATGCACTGGGTGCTTTATAGAAATGCCATTTTAGGCACCTCACATTATAGTAAATTCTTCTGTGGTTAAATCGATGGGGGAAACGCCCCAAGAATGGCGTGCCGTAGATCTGGCCAGATGCCAATCCTGCCTGGGGGTTCTCCACTGACTATCTGGCCTTCCAACCCTGTCTGCATTTGGAGGGCTACTATTTTGTATCGGTAGATTTGAGAGCAGCGACAGTGCATCCTGCTTATCAAATAAAGATGGGCCTTCCCATTTTTGGGGTGAGTCACGGGTGACTTGTAGGGGGAGATAAATGGCAGTTCTAAGTGACAGATAGAAGACGGGTCGTAGCCAAGGCCCATCTCCTCTAATAACTCGCACAAAACAAACAGCCATGTATCCCGGAGACTTTAGGGAGTGGCCTGGAGGAAAAGCAATTTCTTCTGCTGGAGCCTAGAAGCGCCAGCGAGCCCTGGTCTCTGCCCAGCGCATGGTGGGTGGTCACACTGGCCCAGATGCACCCCTGGTCTGGTAAGTGGAATCTGACATGGCCACACGATGATTTGAGAAAAACTGCCACCACGGAAAAAGTGTCCAGCTTTGCTGATGAAAAGCAAAATGACCGTAAAGTGATATTTTCTGTTTCCTTGTCCCTCACTCAAGCAGTCCCTTCTTCATAGGCTTGCTTACCTCTGGGGCAAAGCATTGACTGGAAATTCAGGGCATCTCACTCATGTCATCCTATATGAATTGATTTCTTTTTCCTGATTCCCTTTTATCAACTTAAATCCCAATAAAACATAAATGACTCTAGGGGCGCCGGGTGGCTCAGTGGGTTAAAACCTCTGCCTTTGGCTCAGGTCCTAATCTCAGGGTCCTGGGATCGAGTCCTGTGCCCCGCATCGGGCTCTCTGCTCAGTGGGGAGCCTGGTTCCACACTGCGCCCCCGCTTGCCTCTCTGCTTACTTGTGATCTCTGTCAAATAAATAAAATCTTTTAAAACACAAACATAGATGACTCTTCTTGAATCTTCCAAATTCAGATTCCTTCCTAGAGATACTCTTCAGACACTGTCCTCTGACTCTGAATTTCTGTAGAAATTTCTACTAATGTTTTCTGACTCCGTCGAGACTTCAACCAGTATGACCTGCCCAGGGAGATGATCTGAGATCCCCGAGTCGGCCCATCCGGGAGTCCTTTGGCCCCAAACCACACAAGCATTCCCACGATCTGTCATGCACATGCGTATGCATCTGTCCTCGTGTACGTGTGCGTGCGCTCGTGTTAGAGAGGAGGAATGGAACGACTGCGTGTCTCCCATCTCCTCTGTATCAGGACGGCAGGGAAGCAGGGAGGATGTGTGTGTGAGGCTGGGAAGAAGGGGGCAGGGAGGATCCTGGAGTTACTCTGCGCTCCAGTGAGATTCAGCCACACCTGAGGCCGATTCCTTGTTCCCACGGGGTAGCCGCCCAGCCAGATGGTCACAGGAGCCCCCTTTGTCCTAGACCTTTGTCCTATGTGCCTGGGCCACTTCGGTCCTACCTTCAAACAGCCCCATGCTGTTCCACGCCCCATGAATGCCAGTCCAGAAACCTTTCTTTACCCTCCACTTCCTGGTGCTCCCAGAGTCTACCCCTCAGCTGAGACCCCCTCCCAGGCCACACCAGCACCCAGGCAAAGACCATTCTGTTGTCATCCCTGGGAGATTTCCTGGAGCCTGGTTTTTGAGGGACAACTGGACCCCAGTTCCAGAAGCTGCTAGGCCCCAGTGCCCCTCAGACCTTAGAAAGATTTGAGGCTCTGAGTCCCAGGGAGGAAACGGACTAGAGGGAAGTCATTCTCTGTCCCTGGGAGACTTGCTTTGGACCTCTCCAAAACTCAACCAAGGCTAGCCCCACTCCCAAGGGAGGACACTGCCTCTCTTCATTAGTGTTCTCCACCAGCAGAGTGGAAGCAGGAGGTCCAGACAAGTTGGGGCCGGGGGTGGGGGAGAACATCCCATCCACACCCCCACACAGCACTCACCACCAATCTGCCATGGGGAAGGAGGACAGCTTGTCCCGCTCCTGGGCCAGACGCTGAGCATCCTGCCAAGAGACCCTGTCCGGAGGGTGCCGACAGCCTGGCCCACCATGGCTACCACCACTTGTCTTGCCTCAGCCCCTCTCTGTAGACCAGGAGCTTTCCTGCCTCTGTCCAAGGTTTCCCTATTGGGAACACCACCTTTACCATCCTTCTGAACCTTCCCATGACCTGGGCATGGTTTAGCTACTCTCAACCACGGGATATGATATTTATCTGCAGCTACCTTTCCTTTTCCCTCGCCTCGAAGCAGTTCGACCCAGCACAGGCATTAGCACCAACATCTCCCCCAATGCCTGGTAAGAGCTCCCAAGTCCCCCTGCCACCAAGTGAACCCCAGCCTCCCTGTCGGCAAACTGTGGATCATCGCAGAACCCTCCCTCGTGGATTAAATACACAAGGATTATAAGGGATAAGACGTCCACAGAGTCTAGGAGACGCCTCACACAGCGCATGATCTACGTGTCACAGCCGAGACTTGGAGTCGTGATCCGCTTCAACGTCCCACGCGTGCAGAACAAGGAACAGCATGCAGCGAAAATGCTGCAGACACGATGCCCTCTCTCTCGCCTTCAAATGCTTTCCCCACATCTTGCTCTCTGTATCTCTTAGCTTCTGAACCTCAGGACACCCTAAGCAGCTATCTGGGGACCTCACAGTAGAGGGACTCATGACATCCACAATGGCCTAAAGTCAAAAGTTCCATACTTTCTGACCTGCGGTGCAGAAAACTTGCCACGATGTTCCTGCTCCCAGAGACCATGATGCCTGGGCAGGGCCAGCAGGGCCGGCATCAGTGCTCCTCCATTCCCCCCCTCCTAACAGAACCCGGACACGGCTGCCTGCATCCCTTCTCCCAGCTGCCCCCTGGCTTCCTACACAGCAGCGCATGCACTCACCTCGATAGCCTTGTAGAAGATACTGGTGCCGATCTGGACGACCTCCAGGTTCTGCTCCTGTTCATTCCGTGCACACTTGATGTAGGTCATCCAACTCCGGTGGTCCTCCTGGCTGGCATCAATGAAGTAGCGCACTGTGCCATCCTCATTGAACACCTGCGTGCAGGTAAATTAGAGACAGAGTGAGGCAGGCTGGGCCACCTGTGGCCCCGCCAGGCCCTGCTGCTGGCATATCAGCCTATGCTCCCTCTATCCCCACAACAGCCCCAGGAAGGGCTATCGGCTCTATAATCATCTCAGCTTTCCTGCTGAGGGGCGGGGGGGGGGGGGGGGGGCGGCTCCGGGCTCAGAGCCGGAGGCCAGGCAGCTAGAAGTGACCGACAGGGAGTCAGTCTCCAGGGCCCCAAGGGCTCCCGCAGCCACATTCTGCCCATCTCCGGAAGGAAAGGGTCTCCAAGGGATCCCTGATTCGACAAGGTGCCATTCAGCTAATTCCCTGGGGATGCAGACGTGCTCCCCAAAGCGGCGGCAAGCACAGACCAGGAATCAGAGGGGGACCCAGGAGCCTGGAGAGGGAAGGCTGGCTCACTGTGGCACCCTGCTCTGGCCCAAGCCCCGTTGTGGGAGCTACCAAGAGTACTCAGAAATCAGACTAGAACCCAACTTCCTAACCTAGCAAAAAATGGAGAAGATAACTACTGGCCTAGGTCTCCAGGGAGGGAGGAGGTGAGGTCGGGAGAGGTGTCTGGACCTTGCCCTATTCTCTTCCTCTTGCGCCTATGACCAGGGGCAAGATTTGTGACACTGGGCTTCTCCAGGGACTGTCAGGTGGGGGCTTGGGGGGAACCCATGGAGGGAAGGGAAATGAGATTAGGGAGAGGGTACGCCTGCCAGCCTGGCCACTGCGTGGTGAGAGCCCCAGGGGGGAGGAAATGCTTTGGGAATGGCTTTGTCCTCAGGGTGTCCTAAGGATGGCCGTCCTGACATCTGGCACTGTCAAAGGAGAGGAGGGTCAGAAGCCGGGGTGGAAGCTTCTCTGAGCTTCAGCTTCCCTCTGGAGAATGGGAATAATAATTCATAGGTGCTGAGCTCATTTGGTGGCATGCAGGTCACTGACTCAGAAAGTTGACTCAACGCCAGTTTGTCCCCTGATGATTTCCAGTTGTCACTATTCTGCCTGGGCTGAGAAGCCCATTCCTAGGAAGCACAGGCCCCTCCATTCTCCATGCTGGCCACCCTCACCCCCAGCTCAGAGGGGCTTTCCTTGCAACTTCCTCCGGAGGAAAAGAATGCAGGTAGCTGGGAGGTCCCCCCCCACCCCCGTTTGGTTTCTGTGCTTTCTGCAACGGCGCCGTAGGCAAGCGACATGGCTTCCTGGGGCCTCAGTGCCCTCCTGTGAAGTAGGGCCAACAACAGTCCCAAGGGTTGGCCAGAGGAAAGAGGATCAGAATTTCCAAACAAAGGCCTTAGCTGTCTTAGCGGGGTTGGGGATGCACCTCCAGGCACAGGGCGGCAGGATCCGCGATCCGGAGTCACACAGCACCAGCGCCCAAGCACCCCAAGATCCCAGCAGGGGCGACAGGCACAGAGTGGCAGATACCTACCTCCCACATCAGGTTGTTGTTCTTGCAGATGTCCACGTGCTCCGGGGCGATGACGCGGCCAGTGAAGGGGCCCATCTCCGTGCCCGCCTTGATCCACGTCTTGGAGAAGATGCCGAGGCCCTCGCCGGGGATGGAACTCTGCGCGATGATCACCTCCGCCGGCAGCACCAGGCTGGACAGCTTCTGCACCTCTGTGACCACCAGCGGGGGCAGGGGGACGGGGTCAGATCCTGAGGCAGGGGATGGTCGGCCCTTCCCGCCAGAGACTCAGGGCGGTCCCATCCGGCCAGACCCACCTCAGGCCCGCCCTGGAGTGACTCGGGAGAAGTCACTGGGGTGTGTGTTTGTGTGCGGTGGAGGGGGGCTGCGGCGGCGGGGGCGGGGGTTGCTCAGCGCAGGAGTCGCCTCGGTTTGCAACCCGGAACGTCTGTGCCCTCCGAAGCAAGAGGTGCTTTGGGGCTCATTTCTAGGAGCTTTTATTGCTTTTATTTATTTATTTACTTATTTGGTCTCTCCACTAATTCTCAAAGCATCCACAACCTCCCTGACCCTCACCCTGTAAGATTTAAGAACGACTGTGCCCACCGCAGCGGGCGGCTTTACATATGGGTAAACTGGGGCCCGCTTCCAGGAGGCGGTGATCGCCAAGCCTGAGATCGCGCTTCCGCGGGACAATCCGCGCTCACTGCGTCTCCCTGCTCAGACACCGGGCGCTGTCGAAAGGCCCCGGAGGCGGCCAGGAGCTCTCTTTTCTGGGTTGCGGGAGGCCCTGCGCGTCGGGCTGGCTGGCGACTGCGCTGGGAAGAGACCTCGGGCTGCGGGCGGGGGGTGGTGGGGGCGGGGGCGCGGAAGCTCAAAAGGAACACGGGCAACGGCGGGCTGCCTCGGGGCGCTCTCTGGGTGACCCCGGGCCCACCTCGGTCCTCCTCGCCGCCCAAGATCGCAGGTGCCAGAAAGGGCGCCGGACCCCCGTGAGCCCTGAAGTCGCCCTCTGGGCGGGAAAGAGCCCGGCGGCCCCCAGCCACCCCCCCCTCCCCGCCCCATGCCCCTGCCGGGCCTGGCAGCCGGAGTGGGGGCGGCGAGGCGCACAGGGCCGGCCTCCGTGTCTTACAAGGTTCCCCTCTAAGCTACCGGGGAAAATGGCCGGCGAGCGGGGCCGGCTGAAAGCGGGGGCGGGGGGGGGGGGTTGTTAAACGGTGTCCATTGCGGCGCGGCCGGCAATTTGTCACGCTGTTAAAGTGATAGCATTCATTCGGCTCCATTCGAAAGAAATTGCTAATTCTAAATTCATTAGCCCTGGAAGAATGCTGTAGCAGTAAATTGTAGCTCAATGCGGAGAGGACTTGTTTAAAAGGGGCCGAGGAATTCCCCTTACAAAAAGGGGGGATTAGATGGTTGACATAGCGTGAATGGAAGTGGAATTAGTCTGCACGGTGAATTAAGAGAGGAACAGAAATCGTCACGGGGGAAGAGAGGGCGACGCGCAGAGATGCCAGCGCCGGGCAAAGATATTGTTTGCAGGTTGATGAATGAGGAATAAGAACTTGAGACATCTTAAAGAAAAGAAACTTTTCTGGCTCTCTCTTTCTCTCCCTCGCTCCCTCCGCGGCTTTCTCTGCCGGCCCGCCCGCCCTCCGCCCCCTCCCCAGCCCCCTGCCTTTTAAAGTTCTCGGTTGAAGTGGGAACTTTCTCGGGTCAAGCCCAAGTTAACTAAATGAATTTTAAACCCCTTCTTTTTGAGTCAACTGCTATTACACGCCTAGTAAGGCTTTAAATGCCGGGAACCCGCCGGCTCAAAGGGGTGAGGGGCGGGCCGGGGGGCGCCAGGGGCCGCAGGGCCCGGGCAGCCTGGACGCGGCGATCCCTTCTCTGAGCCGCCGGGGGCGCGGAGCGGCTTCCCGCCCCGCCCGGGCCTTGGCTGCTTGCGCCCCGGTTCGGCTCCCGGGAAACTGAGGCCCACGGAACAGCCGCGACGCCCCGTGGCCCTGCCGTGCCCCGTGCGTCGCCAGGACGGGAACCTTGCGCCGCCTGGAGAAGGGGGCGCGACCGGCCTCGACGGCGCGACTCACCGCCGGAGAAGGACTGCGCCAGGACCTCGGCGGTGAAGGCTGTCTTGGGGCTGGCGTGGTGGCTCTTGTCCTCGAAGAGCTGCTCGCCCAGCACGTTGCGCCAGCGGCCGTACAGGAAACTGTGCAAGATGTCGGAGGTGATGACCTCGGCCAGTGCCAGTCCCGGCGCCTTCAGCCCGGTCTTGAGCACCAGGGCCTCAGCCGGGAGCACGGAGCCCATCATGGGCGGTCCGGGGCTCGCCGGCGCCGGGGACGGACGGCCGGGCGGACACGGGGATGCGGCGGGAGAGAGGGGAGCGCAGGGGCTAGAGAGGAGGGCTGTGACGGAGGAGGAGGAAGAGGAGCAGGGGGAGGACGAGGACGAGGGGGGGGGACGCAGGAGGGAGCGGGAGGCGAGTCGGGCTGGGAAGAAAGTGAACGAGGGGGAGCGAGGCGGAGAGGGAGAGAGAGATGGAGAAATCAGCAGAGGTGGCAGAGGCGGCGCGGACGGCTGGAGACACAGGGGTGGAGGCGGAGGCGGGTGCGGGGGGTGCAGGGCGGGTGGAAGGCGGGCGGCTGCAGAGAAACGGCGGCGAGGGGTTCTGGGACGGGCGCTCGCCTCTCGCACACCCGGCCCGGACGGTCTTCGCCTTGGCAAAAGCTCAGCGCCTTTATAGGAGCCTCAGTGACCCTCCTAATTGGTTATTAATGACCCCCTGACGTCGGACAGACTTGTTGTACCCGGCCGGGCTCGAGGAGCCCTCGTCGCCAGAGCTCAAGGGGCGGGGGCGCGCGGGCGCTCCGAATTGTCCCTTTTCGCTCCTCCCGCCCCTCCCTGGCCCTTCCTCTCCGCCCCCCCCCTCCTCTTCCTCCTCCTCTCCCCGTGGGAAGCGCCGGGCTGGGAGGGAGGCTCAGGCCCCGGCGAGGAGAGGAGGGGACGGAGCAGGGGAGGGGGCGCCGCGAGGCTCGCTCGGACTCCAGGGACCGGACTGGGCAGGAGGGACGCCTGGCCTTGGGCCCTGCCGGCCGCCGCTCACCCACAGCTCAGGGCGGATCTGCGCTCCTCATCCCCGCCGGCGGCATTCACCTCCCCTAGGCTCCCTGGCCCTCTTGGCCAGCCCGGCTCTCTGGAGCGCCGAGCAGAGCTCCAGAACGCGGGATGCGCTGCTCTCCTGATGTAGACGGCGCTTGCCAGAGTCGGCCGCTACGCTTCAACCGGGCCGCTAGACCACCGGGTTCGCAGCTGGCTGCCCAGTGTGAAACTCTTCCCCTGCGGCAAGGGCTGCAGGGAGGGGCTGCAGCCGCGTTGGGGCTGAGCCCTGCCCTAGGTGGTGTCGTGGGCAACGGGCTCCAACTCTGGCGGGCTAGGGACCGAAATCCCCCCAGGCCGTGGGTTGCCCAGAATAGGTTGTTCTGATGGATATGGGAGGGGATGGAAAAGGGTCCCCGGCCAGTTCTGAGTGAGAGCAGCCGTGCTCCAAAGCCAAGGATCTCCAAAACTGCAGGCGGTGCCTGCGGGCCCTGAAGCTCCAGCCTTCCAGCTTCTTCGCTCAGCTGCGACCTCGGGGAGACCTCTGCATTCTGCAGTCCTTCTTTCTTGCCTCCCAGTTCTCCTTCTTTCTCTTCTGGCCCCCCCTTCTCTCCCTTCCTCCCAACTGCCCCCTCCCCCATTCCACCAGGATGCTTTCTGCGCACAGGTTCCAAGATACCCAGGGCGCCAGCACCGTGTTTCTCCGTCTCTTTCCCCGTGACAAGGAGCTGCTGAGCCCGGGAAGGCCAACGCTTCCTGCAGCCTTTGCTGACTTCTTGGGTTAGCCTCAAGTCCCCGACTCCAGCCCTAGACACTGGAGGGGCATCATGGAGACACCTCCCACCCTCCCTGCAATGTCAGATTCTGTTAGCAGAGCCCAGTTTTCTGGACCCTCAGGGAAGGGGTTGGGCTTACGGGTTAGCTGGAGGAATCAGACTCTCCACGCTTTCTCCGCAGCACGGGGCCTTGGGCAGATGGTCAGGGGCCTGGCCTTCCCATAAGGAGTCACTGTCCTCACACCCCTTGGCAAAAAACTCCTTCTGCGGGGCGGTGGGGGGGGGCTGTCTTGGCTTTTGCTAAGCCATCCTCACACCTGGCCACCACGGACCCCCGGCCTTGCGGGCCCAGTGCCAGCCAGTGGTCTCTGCTGTCCCAGTGTCCGCATCCGGACATAGAGTAAGGAAGGCGGCAATCGCCGGCCTTCAGACACAGAGCCCCGGTGAGCCTGGAGATGATGCCCAGAGGAGGCTGCTCTGGGCACAAGGCACGACCGTCGGGCTTGGCGCCAGCAGAGGGCAGCCCTGCAGAGGAGCCAGCACAGCTTGCGGGTTAGGGTCCCGGAACCTCAGATCCCTTCCAGATGCCACCAGCGAGTCACCACGGGCTCAGGTTTGAGCGGAGGGCTCTGCCAGAGGGGGCTGAGGGAGCCCGAGTCTGGGTGCCTCACCCATGCCTGGACCTTGGTTTCTACAAAGACTTGGTGAAAGGGAAAATGCGCCAAGGCGAAGGAGACTCCATGGGGAGCACCGCCCAGAGCTTGGAGCTCAGTTCTCAAGGCTGGCAGCCATCCTCGCCGCCTTCGGGAGATCAAAGGAGGAAGAGGACTGCTGAGCGTCCTCGGGGCCGCTCTTCTCTCTGGGCCGCTCTTCTCTCTGGGCCTCGGTGTCCCTGTCTGAGCAACAGTGTAGGTGGGACTCTGTGAACTGAGATTGCTTCCCACCTTGTCCCGTTTTGGGTCAGGTCACCTTACTCTGAAAGCCGGGAGGATTTTGTCAATTGCCTGGGCCACACCCCAGAGAAAATCCCTCAGGTCTGTGCATACTTCCAACCATGGGCACAGCCTTTGGGACCTGCACCCCAGCTCGAGGTCAGAAGGTGAAGGACCGAGGGCTCCAACGGCGACTAGGGAGCCCTACTCCTTTCCCCCGGACCGGAACTCCTAGGCAGCGATGCGGGCACAACGGAAGCGCGGCTGGGGCCAGCCTTCCAGCTCCCACGCCTGCCAGCCCGGTGCGTCTCCACTGTGCGCTCAAATTCTGTGCTTCTGATCGAGGCACAGACCCACCTGGACTGCGCCCCAGGGAAAGGGGAGCTATATGGAGCGCCCCAGTCTCAGGGCCCACTGGAATTGGGGAGCAAGCCCGGTGCGCCGAGATTGCGAAGGAAGATACTGCACGTTCCGGAGTTTCTTCGCGGCTGAACCCTGTGGTTTTCCGCGGGGCCCAGCCGAGGAGTGTGCCCGCGCCGCAGCCCCCTACCCTACCCCAGACCGGCCAGAGCTCGCAGGCGCCGCCCTTGTAGCGCCTGCGGGCCGCCGTTCCGAGATCTCTTTAATATTCATGGGCGTTAATAGAGAGGCCCCCAGTATATCGGTCCATTGTGGGCGGCTCGTAGGGCTTGAATAGGCCCCGGCCCTCTTTCTTCGGCGCAGCTTCCCGAGGGGCCGGGCCAGGAGTGAATGGCCCCGCTTCCCGCCCCGCGCCCCCTCCCCCTTGCGGGAAGAACATCTTTATCCCCGCCGCCGCCGCCGCCGCTGCCTCCCCGGCCCCCATTCACGCGGCCCCAGCTCCGGGCGGAACGAATCAATCCGCCGCGGCTCTTCGGAGGTCATCCGCGTGGCCCGGGCTCCCCCTTCTCCCGGAGCCCACGGGAGTGGAGAGAGGGAGTCGGCCGCAGGCCGAGGGACCCACGGACTGAGGGACACTTGGGGAGGGGCGGCAAGGGCCGGGGAGCCCCGGGAAGGGGGGCCGCTCCTGGCAGGTGAAGCGGGACTCAGGGTCCCACGGTCGCCCGACGCCCGCCGATTTCTACCTGTTGCCCCGCACGGAGCGGAGCACGGAGAGAACGCGGGCCACGGCGCCAGCTCCTCCCGAGGCACCGGCGCGCGCCCCCCGGGGCCGGCGGCAGCACCCTCGAGCCCCGGGATCCGGGGTGGGGAGCGGCCCGGGGCTCCCCAGGCCCGACGGCCCGGCCCGCAGAGCACTTTCGTTCTCGCCTCTGTGCCCGGGCTCAGCTCGGGGACGCCCCGGTCCAGACAGCGCGCCTCAGCGGGGCGTTCCGAGGGGAAGCCGGGCTCCCGCGCCCTCACTCAGCTCCCCCGACTCGGGTGGAGGGGGGCGCGAGCCGGTCAGGCGGGGCCGAGCGCCCGGGTCCCCGCCCCTCCCGCCCCGCCGGCCCTCGGAGAAGCAGAAAGGAGCCCATTGTCCGCCGGGAAATACATTTTTGGGGGCCGAGTGAAAGCCCGTCTTTCTTTTGAACTTTAGAAGAAAGTCTTCTGCCCTCGCCCCTCGGAGGGAGAGATTTGTCTCCCCTCCCGGGGGCCCCGCGCGCCTCCTCCTCCCGAAACATCTGCCGGGGGAAAATCCACCCTGGAGGGCAGATCGCGCTCGCTCTAAGCCCCGCGAACTCATTAAAAAGATATTAGCGGCGGGGGCAGGTCCCGCGCAGGTATCGATCGGCCGGAACGAGCCGAGGAAGAAAAGGCGAAGAATGCGGTCGCGCCGCGTCCCGACCCCCTACCCGGCTTCACCGGCCCCCCGCGCCCGAGCCCCGCGGCGGCAGTGGGGCCCCCGCGCGGTCCGCAGCGGCCGGCGGCCTCCGGCGGCCTCCGGCGGCGGCTCGCCCCCTCCCCCCGGGGTCCCCCTTCCTCCCCTCGCCGAGCTCCTCCCGCGGCTCCCCTCCTCGGCTCGCCACCGCCGGCCCGCGCTCCCCCGCGCGCGTCGCTCGCTTTCCCCCGAGCGCTCTCCTCTCTCGGCCGCGCTCCGGGGCCCTCGCCGTTGATCTCACACCCTCTCCGCTTCCTCCTCCCATTTCTCTCCAGTGCAGAGTCTCAGTCTTTCGGGTCCCAGTCCCGCCGTGGCCCAGAAAAACTGCTTCCTCTCGTGGGGCCCGCATGTCCCCCGGCCCCGTTCCCACGGGAGGGTTCAGGGCTCCAGGACGCTCCCGCCGGCGCCTACTAAGGCCCGACGGGCTGCTAAGGCTATGGTTTCATTAGACGTGATTCGGGCCGGGCCTGCCTGGGGGCTGCCACACGGAGTGGCGGCCGCAGCGCCTTGAAGAGGGACAGAGGCCCCCCCCCCCCCCATCTCGTTAGCCTCCCAGGCCCGGCCCGGGAGAAACAAAGGCGCGCCCCTGGGCCCAGGTGACTGGCACGCGAGTCTCTCTGGGCGCTGAGGGCGGGGACCACCCCCCCCCCACTTCCTGGCGCCTCCCGG